CGAACAGAAGGAACAAGCCAAATCGACCGACAAAAACGTCGAAATCATTAAGGGCTATAGAGCTAAAATCGAGGCGGAACTTTCTAAGTACTGCGACGATGTCTTGGACGTTTTGAAGAACAACTTGTTACCAAATGCAGGCTCAGCGGAAGGCAAAGTCTTCTATAAGAAGATGGAAGGCGATTATTATAGATACTACGCCGAATTCACCGTCGACGAGAAACGAACTGAAGTCGCTAATAAGTCTTTGGCCGCTTATACCGAAGCAACTGAGATCTCAAACGCTGAACTCCCACCAACCCACCCAATTAGATTGGGCCTCGCTCTTAACTTCTCTGTCTTCTACTACGAAATCTTGAACGACGCTGATAAGGCTTGCCAACTCGCAAAACAGGCTTTCGATGACTCAATTGCTAAGCTCGATGATGTCCCTGAAGCTAACTATAAGGACTCAACCCTCATCATGCAACTCCTCAGAGACAATTTGACTTTGTGGACTACCGACAACGCTCAGGACGACGCTTAAGGGCTCTCTGAATCATTTCTTTTTTATCACTTTTTTAATCTTTTCATTTCAAGAATAATTTGTGTTTCTTTGAATGGGTTTTCAAGTATTGATGTATTTCAAGTAAAATAATAACCAATCAATATTTTCAACATGAATAGTTTTGAAAGTCGCCATAAAAACCACCAATTTTAATAAATTTTCATTTCTTTTTATTTTTTTTTCTTCTATTTCATATAAAACAAATAATATAAATTATTATAAAAAATTTATTTGTAATTTATTATTTGATTAACTTATAAATATTAAATATTTTTAATCAATTGTTTGTATTTTTGTATTTGATGATTAGTAAATTAATTATTAAAATATCATAAATATTAATTATTTTTACAATTTCAAATAGTAATATTATAATAAATGTTAAATAAATATCATTTACTTTTTTTTTAATGAAAAAATCATTTGAAATTTATATTATCATAATATAAATTTGAAATGATTTTTTGAATAATAATATTATTATGTACTAAACTATTTGATAAATTAATAAATTATAATAAAAAAACAATTAAATGAACTAAACCAACTCAATTCATGAAAATAACATAAATGGAGGCAACAACGCAAACCATGACCGTTGAAGCGACAATTGCGATCTTCCAATAGTTAATAGGTACGACGATAGACTTGCAAAGTCGCACGAAATTTTTGGCTTCGGTGTTGTTGTTGAAATTGTCAATAGATCGTTGGCAGAAGAGTTTCATCTCGATTTTTTCATTGTTTTTGATCTTTGTAAGAAGCTTTTCTGAAGGCTCCAAATTTTGAAGAACTAAGTCGTCCCAATGCTCGTAACACTCCGGGTCTATAACAAGCATTCGTTCCGTCACAGTGACGTCAAGAGATTTGAGAGAAAACTCAAAGATTTTTTTGGTGACTTTTTTGAAAAGAAGACGATCCAAGTCTATCAAACTGCCGAGTTTTTCTGAGAGCTCTGGTGAGGTATTGGGATAGACAGATTTGAAGGCCTTCAAACTCACGCAATCTGGAACTCTCACTTTTTTCATCTCGTTTTGAACAAACGTCAACATCTCGTCTTGTTGCTGAACGGGGCGACTTTTAAGCGCAGAAAAATTGGATAAAATGCAACTGAACGACTTGTAAACGTCATGCATTGTTAAGAAATGGAAAATGTTGGTTTCCACTTCGTTTTCGGGAAATTTGATGGTGTCTGTTTGTAAGGAGAGACCCTCTAAAAGGCATAAACCGCCAACAGTCGAACAGGTTTCAGATAAAGACTTTGCAAGTGCTTTACGTTTGCTCACACCAACACGCCCCATGATGAACTGAAAATCTTTTTGATCCGACTGCGAAAATTTGTTATACGGATACTCCGAATAATTTGCTGGGTCTGACCATTGGGAAAGATAATTATACACAAAATCTAGACGGTCTTCCTCGGGAAAATCTTTTTTACGAACGTCTTTAGGAATGTCTTTCAATGAGATGTTACCAGAACGTGTGGTAAAATCAAAGTTGACCTGTTTAACTTCGTGTGAAACTTTCTTCGCTTTTTTGTGCTCTTCTATATTCTCAAAATCTTCAAATTTTTCTGGAGGAGGAACATAGGCGACTTTTTTGACTTTCTCAGTTTTTTCAGGTTCATCGACAACGGGTTCGGTTCCCTCTGCCGCGTTGTTGTTGTCGACGTTTTGTGTGTTTTCAATTTTCTCATCAACAACAATTTCTTTTTGTTTATCCAGTCTTGTCTTTTCACGTTCTTTCTTCTTCTCAAGTTTCTCGCTTTTTGTCTTCTTTGAGTGTTTATCTTTTTTTTCTACCGTGGTTTCTTCTTCTTGGAGCGGCTCCTCTGCCTTCTCGGCTCGGTCCTTTTTACTTGGTTTTATCCCTAACAATTTTTCTTCCCGTTTTTTCTGCTTTTCCTCCTCTTTCTTTCGCGCCTCTTCTTCTTTGGCTTTCGCGGCTGCTTCTTTTTCTTTCTTTGACAACGTGCGTGCTCCTCGTTCACGCCCTCCTTTTCCTCCCGCTTGCATTTCACATTTTCAGTGTTATTTTATTTATAATTTTTATTTAATTTGGTGATTCTTTTTAAAATTAGATATTTACTAAAATAAATTATAATTACAATTTTTGTTTATTAAACAAATGTTTTTAATTTTTGTTATTTAATTTGTTTTTTTAAAAAGTGATTTAATTATAGCTTGTACAATCACTTTCTTTAGTTCAATGTATTAATAATTCTAGTTAATAATACCATTACAATCACTTCAAATTCAATTTTTTTCAATTTAAAAAAAAGAAAAAGTGCGATTAACTGAAAAATCTGATCTCAGATATAAAAACCTCAAACTATTTATCATTACCAAATATCCCGTTTTTTCATGATAACATAAGGTGTTTTCATAAAAGAGAATAAAAACATCGAATTCATAATATTTTGACTTCAGTTGAAAAAAGTTAGATTTGTCATTACTTTTTCTTAGTATTTCCAAACTAAAAAATTCACAAAAAGTATATGTCCGACCATAGTACACATAATATGTACATTTACCCCGACGAGTATGAGTACAACGAAAAGCAACTGACTGATCATGATCATCCTTTGATTCACACTCCAATTGAAGCTGTTGAACATTATACTGAGGATGACCCCGAATGCCCATTTTTGGGGGAGAGAAGTTACTTACCAAATGGTGAAAGAGGGGAATATGAATGGATATCTTATGGGACTGTACTGAACACTGCTAAAGCCTTAGCGCGCTCTCTCTTGGAATTGGGTTTGAAGAAAGGCGATGTAGTTGGCTTTTTCTCGAAACGACGACTTGAGTGGCACTACCTCTTTTTGGCGTGTGGGTATACGGGAATTGTCTTGGTCACATTGTACGAGTCTCTCTCAGTTGATGCGTTAAAATTGATCAATTCAAATGCCGAGTTCAAAAGAATTTTTGTGTCGGACGAGAAGCTCAAAGTAGTCACACAGTCGACTTCAGCGCCAATCACTGTGATCGAACCCCTCCACCCCACTGACGAGAAATCTCAAGCTGAAGAAATTGGGTACAAAAACACCGAATTAGGATTTTACCAGTTAATCGAGAATGGCAAGAAGTTGACTACAGCGCTGAAGAGAGTTGAACCCGACGATTTAGCATTGATTATGTATACGTCTGGTACTACTGGTAATCCAAAAGGTGTTCCACTGACTTATAGAAACTTATCTGCGTCATCTTCATCGTTGTGGATGCGAGTTCCTTTATACTTTGTTCAACAATACCCAAGAAGAGAACAACGCATCTGTTCGTTGTCGTTCTTACCATTAGGACATGTCTTTGCGATAGTTGTTGAATTCATTATGTATCGAATGGGTGGGAGAATTGGGTTCATGTCATCAACACATTTAAAAGTAGTTGAAGACATCGGGGTCTTGAAGCCTGTAGTGTTTGCTGCTGTTCCCAGAGTCCTTCAGTTAATATACACTGGCGTTTATAACATCCTTGCAACGAAGCCAAAAGCTGTTCAAGTGGCTTTTGAAACCGCGATGAAAATCAAAGAAGGGATACTTAAAGTGAATTCAGAGGCAATTACAACAACATTCGACAACATTTTCTTTAAACAAGTGACTGAGAAGTTTGGTGGAAATTTAAGAGTTGTGATATGTGCTGGTGCACCGTTGTCACAAGATATTGCCAAATTCTTTAGAATTGTCATTTCAGACGGATTCTTTGTTGGATATGGCCTGACAGAGACATGTGGTTTGTTAAAAACTAGATAATAGTAACATTGAACAATAATTTTTAATACAAAATATTGAAGAACAGGAATGGGATTGTCTACGGTATTCCATGATGGAATTGACTTGGAACATGTTGGGCAGCCTTATGTGTCTTCTATGGTGAAGATTCGATGTGTACCTGAGATGGGGTATTGTACCAAAAATGAAGTACCGACTGGAGAGATCATGATTAAGAGTACTGCTGCATTTAAGGGATATTACAAAGAGCCCGATGTGAAGGTAATTGATGAAGAAGGCTTTGTGTATACGAACGATATCGTGTCGGTGAGAAAAGACGGGAAAGTGAAAATTGTCGCGCGTAAAAACAACGTCTTTAAACTGTCGCAAGGAGAGTATATTTCCGCAGAGAAAGTGGAGTCAATGATGACGCAGTGCAAATACATCCAAGACGTTTTTGTCTATGGAAACTCGTTGAAGAATTATTTAATTGGCGTTGTAGTCCCTAACTTTGATTCCCTCAAGCTTTGGGCTAAAGCAAACAACAAAACACTTGGAACTAAAGAAGAAATTTGTAAGTCGAAAGAGATCAACGAAATGATTGTTAAAGAAATGTCTATAGTAGCTGATCAAACTGGTTTAAAAGGTTTCGAAAAAGTGAGAAAGATTGTTTTGCACGACAAAGTATTTGACACAGCTCGTGAATTTATTACACCTTCAATGAAACTGAAACGTAAAAACCTTTACGACTATTTCAAGGATGACATTGAGGCATTACTTAAAGACTAAAAAAACTGTCTTTACCTTTGATCTTCTATTTACTTATAAATTAACTATAATCAACTATAGTTTTATAGTACATAATAGGTAATAACTTTATAATAACTTTATAATAACTTTATAATAACTTTATAATAACTTTATAATAACTTTATAATAACTTTATTATAAAGATATAAAGTTAAAAAACTTAAAAAATACATGTTGAAGGGAAGTTCAGGAGAAGATTTCATCGAAAACAAAACGCTTGTATTTCTTTCTCTTCCCGTAGGCACAAACAAAGACGACATCAAGTACTCACTAAAAAAATAAGGTATTCCTCACAACTTAAAAACTCTCCAAATTTCTTTTCAACAAGCTCGAATGTCAGTTTAGTATCGGCATGGCCAACGGCGTCTGAAATTGTTGTCACTAGAAAAAAGGCTTTAGTCCAATTTGAGACACATGAAATGGCGTTGAATGTTCATATTCAACGAAGTCATGTACGAGTCAAAGGGAAGGAAAAAATAATTTGTTGGAGCTTAACGAAAGAGCAACAAGACTCCAACGACTTCAATTTGAATTTCAGTGGACTTCAAGAGGATGTAGATGATGAATATCTTCAGATATGTCTTGATGAATATGGACATGTCATTTCTCAGTTGTTCAAACAAGGCCAACGGTCATCTTTAGTGAAATTTCTGAATGAAGAAGAAGTGCAAAATGTGTTTAACAATCGCGACAGAATTCAAGACGAAATTGGTGGTGAAGATTTTGATATCGAGTATCATTCGTTGAAGCCGAAGTTAAAGACGAATGTCATTGTTAATAACATTCATGAAGATTTAGTCGATAACGAAGACTTTGAACAGTGGTTAAATTATTATGGAGACATTACACGATATGTCCTTCGAGACGTACAAAAGGGGTACCACACCAAATCACTTCTTGTGAATTTCATGAATGAAAAAGACGCAGAAAATTTCATTAAAGACGTGAACGGGAAGGACGTATTCACGTGCGACAAACCTTTAGAAGCAAAGTTGTGTAAGTCCCCCAATGAAATGAAAAGAGAGAAGAAAAAGAAAGAAATACCACTTGAATAAAAACAGAACAACATGTTCATTGAATATGTCCCAATGAGATTACTCGACGAAACATCGTTTCAAAATTACTTCGAGACATTTGGTAAAATCTATTTGTGCAAAGTTGTGTCAGTAAACAAGACTGGGTTCGTGTGTTTTTATAATCAAGATGACGCACAAAACTGTTTTAAAGCAAACCATGGCTCTATGAGAGTCAAATTCAAAGAGGAGTTTTAATGGTATAAATTCTTATTGTATTACAATTTGTTGGTGTTGGCATTGCTATTTTTTTTATTAGTAATTATTTACATTCATAATAGTTTATTTATAAAGACATATAATAAATATTAATTATTATACGTCTGATATAATATATAATAATATAATAATTATAATTATAATTATATAATTAAAAATACTATTATTATGATATAATAAAAAATGTTCAGAGTAACTATGGAAAAGTCATAGAGGAAGATTTTCATCTTAGAATATTACATCAGAACGATATAATATTCATACCATATTTCAGATACCTCTCTAGTATAAATAATCTCATCATAACGTTTAATAAAGTTCATATCACTATATTAAAAACGATTCTTTATATTTTGAATTATGGGATTTTATTATTGAACAAAACACTTTAAACATAATGAATCATTAGTAATAGAAAATATAGTTAAAACTATAGGAAGAAGGAATGGGGAGGTAACCCTACAAAAAGAACTTCAAAATATTGTGTTGTATGGTCATCGTTCCAAAGGCTAGAAAGACCTATTGCCCCCGTTGCAATAAACACACTCCACACAAAGTGTCACAATACAAGAAAGGAAAGGATTCCATTCATGCCCAAGGTAAGAGAAGATACGACCGTAAACAGAAAGGTTTTGGAGGTCAGACCAAGCCCGTCTTCAAGAAGAAAGCAAAGACCACCAAGAAGGTAGTTTTGAAGCTTGAGTGCTCCAAGTGCAAGTACAAACTCCAAAAATGCATGAAGAGATGCAAACACTTCGAGTTAGGAAATGAGAAGAAAGACAAATAATTTGCATTGTTCTTTCTGTTTATTACTTTCATTTTTTTTAGACGTAAAGCACTTGAAGAAGGTCTTCCTGTGGATTTTTGATGGCTTGAAATAAATGCAAAGAACTAAACAAGTCAATTATAACATCATCACCACTTCCCGAGAGTCACCCGTTTCTGAGTATAACTAGGTGATGAGACTGTCGAAACTACACTCACTGAATTTCGAGAGCGCTCAGGAACTTTCAGCGCTACACTCTTCTCACAGAGTCCTTCATACATCTTCAACTTCTCTTTCACCGACTTCGAACGCTCAACTTCAGCTTTTTTCTCCACTTGAACACACTTAACCACTTCGCCACGAATGATCCTCGTCATTTTGAAAACTTCACTTTGAAGCTTCTTATTGTCGTCTTCGGTGTGTCGTAAACGAGTTTTAAGCTCCCGAATTTGCTCGTCCATTTCGTTCATTTTGATCATTTGAGTCGCACATGGGTCCTTCGATTTGATGTCTCGAGTCTTAAGTAACTCGAGTCGGACGTCTTCAAGTGATCGTTGCACTTTTTCAGCTTCGACCACTTTAATTCGCATCTCCTCGACCTCACGCTCTTTCTCATCCATTTCAATTTCACATTGTCTAAGAAGTTCATTCAAAGTTTCATTTTCTTTGTCGAGTGATTCGACTTGTGATACAAATCCAAGGATTTTAGTGTTCAACGAAGTCACTGTTTTCTTGAGGCGTTCAATTTCCATATTCTCGCCTTTGTGGTCTTTCAGTTGCTCAATCATCTTCTTCAGACTTTCAATTTCATTGTCTTTCTTTTGTAAGTTAGTTGCATACATCTCATTGTTAGTCTTTTCTAAAGTCTTGTTCCGTATTTTGACTCTCTCAAGCTCCCTTGTCTGGCTTTCTAACTTGTCTTGTAAGACACTATTATTGACTGACATGAACCCACAGTCCTCTTGTAATTGGGTAATCCGTTTATTCTTCAGTTCTATGATATTCCCCAGTTCCTCCACTTTATTCTTCAAATTTTCTTTATCCTCGTCAAAGACATATTTTTCCTCTTCTTTTATTTTAAAGACTCTTTTGAGAGTTAATACTTGGATTTCAGTGAAGGAGATCTTCTCTTTGTTTTGATATAAATAGAATCCAGTCGGATAATTGATATCCGCAATCGACTTCATTAACATCTCAAACTCAGACTGAAACAGTCTGCCACACCACCACACCATTTTCTCTAATAAATCATCACTGCAGTTTTTTATCATTGTTCGAAGGCTTCCTATATGATCTGATGTTATATTGTACTTATTCTTTATCAACTCAATGATCTCGGGATTCGTATCGAATTGAAGCATATAAAACTCCGCAGAAAACTTAGACGTCACGTTTGCAGAACGCAACAGTATATTAACTATAACGCTATTTGTCTCCATTCAATCACTGTTATCTAGTCTTCGTTCAGTTCATTCATTCCAAATTTTCATGCAATTTCTAAACAAATATTTTGATGTTCCTTTCTTCTTGTGTTGACGTCTTCATTCCAATTATCCCGTTATTTGCTTCTTTTCAGTCGTAAGTAGTTCTTTAAAAATAGTTTTAATTCCTTTTCCTGTCATAGTTGACTTAATTTGGCGTATCATATCACAAGTCAAAATACACTATTTCGGGGAACAACCAAAACAACCTGTTTTGGTTGTTCTTTGATACTGAACTATAACATATCATTACATTATCATTAAATTATAGTTAACTGTGGATATTTTAAGTCAAAAAACCCTTTTTTTACTCCAAGAAAAAAAAATAAAATTATCCAAAAAGTCACCCTTTATTGTCGTCTTGAAAAAATTTCTTTTGAAAATTTTTATCAGTCTTGACTTTTTAAAAAAAACGGAGTTTCTGTGATTTTGACTTAGTGACTTTGTAAAAAATTTATGGGCTACATTGTATCAGTAAATAACACACAAAACTGAATTAGAGTCCGGTAAAAAAGGGGTGTTGGAAGTATTGGTCCCAAGTCATGCGATTTTTTTCTTCGACAAACAGTCTTCTTATTAAGTCGAGCAACACGTCGAATCTCAATTCACTACCTGCGACGTAGGTGTTTCGTTCTTTGACCACATCATTAATTGCGTTTTGATAAAACATATAGAAATTTTCTATAGGGATATTAGGGCTTCGCGGCACAACGAGCACTTTGCAAGTGATCATTTCGTACAAAACGACTCCGATAGAGAACAAGTCGCATCGTTCATCATAAATAACACCGTGTGATATTTCGGGTTGGTTCGTGTGGTTTGAACCCACAAAAATGGTATCAAACGAGTTATCTCCAATGAGTCGCGAAGACCCGAAGTCGCACAGTTTCAAAGTGAGTCCGATGGGTTTAGTGGCGTCTTGGAAAACTAAAATGTTTTGTGTCTTTAAGTCTCTATGGACCAACTGTCGAGTGTAAACCATATAGTGCATTGCGTTGTTAATATCATTCATAAAATGTCTGATATAGTCAATGGAGAGTCCATGTTCATTCTGTTTAATCAAATCAAACAAAGAACCATATGCAGAACACTCCATCACAGTGTAGTAAAACTCGTCACCCTCAACCATCTCGCTTGGGTTCAAAGTCCCTTTAATGGACTGTTTTGACTTCATAAATTTGAATAAGGTGACAATATTCGGATGTCGCGAAATACACATCGTTCTCACTTCTTTCAAGGCAACGTCCTCCTGTGAAAACTCTTTGATTGCATAGTAATTGTTCGCATGAGACGCAGAAAACACACACCCGTACGACCCTTTCCCAACTCTTCTTGTCGTTGATTTGTCAAACAAAGAAAACACATCTGTCGTTTCTTCGGGTTGAATGTGTTTGAAGTTGAAACACTGAATAAAAAATGGAGTTTGTTTCATCTCCTGCAATATTTTAGGAAACGATGTTAAACGGTGTTTCTATAAATTAATATATTATATTATACCATTATAGTTTATTAATGCTAATATTATTCTATTATACATATTATATTATTCTAATATAATATGTAGTAAGATATAATCTTCTGTATTAAAGTGGCAATAAGTAATGATAGTATAATTTAATATTATATTTATATAGTTTATCAATTATACTATATTTTATTAAATAATACTATACTAGTAATACACAAACATATAACTTTTCGAGAAAGAGAGTTGGAGGTGAAATGTTTGTCGCGTCAGTTGTTGGGACAAAGTTGAGAGCGGACATCTCTTGAAGACTTGGCGGAATTTTTTGGAAGAGTAATTTGCACAAGAACATCATAAATGAGTATATTTCGACTCGGGTGGTGATGTCAGAGTACATTATAGTTTGAGGAAGAATAGTTGGCATTATAAAAGGAGTGACTCCGACTATTGTCTTCACGCCATTAATGAAGTGTGGCAATAAAAATCCTAATGAAGACACTTTGAGTTGTGGGATTGGGGACGCCGAGTCACTTTGGATTGCAAATGACATTTCACTGAATAAGAATGGTTGTTCTGCGTTAAAGACATTTCTCAGCACCTCTTTGAGTTGGATGATGAATTCAAAAAGTACTTGAATGTCACTTGAGAAGTATTCGATAGCTTCTAGTGTCAAACTACAGTCCAAGTAGTCGTTAATTAGTCGGTCAATTTCACAAGTCATTGTAATACACTCAAATCCATCGTCATCAAAGTCCTCTGCCC